TCATTATCATTTGTTTCCATGAATTTTTTCAATTCTTCTTTAATTTCCTGGTTGACCCATTCATTCTTTAGAAGGATGCTGTTTAGTCGCCATATATTTGGGTTCTTTCCAAATTTCCTCTTGCGATTGAGTTCTAGCTTCAGAGCATTGTGGTCTGAAAATATGCAGGGAATGATCCCAATTTTTTGATAACAGTTAAGACCTGATTTAGAACCAAGGATGTGATCTATTCTGGAGAATGTTCCATGTGCACTAGAGAAGAATGTGTATTCTGTTGCTTTGGGATGAAATGTTCTGAATATATCTGTGATGTCCATCTGGTCCAGTGTGTCATTTAAGGCCTTTATTTCCTTGTTGATCTTTTGCTTGGATGATCTGTCCATTTCAGTGAGGGGAGTGTTAAAGTCCCCTACTATTATTGTATGATTGTCGATGTGTTTCTTTGATTTTGTTATTAATTGGTTTATATAGTTGGCTGCTCCCACGTTAGGGGCATAGATATTTACAATTGTTAGATCTTCTTGTTGGACAGATCCTTTGAGTATGATATAGTGTCCATCTTCATCTCTTATTATAGTCTTTGGTTTAAAATCTAAGTGATCTGATATAAGGATTGCCACTCCTGCTTTCTTCTGATGTCCATTAGCATGGTAAATTCTTTTCCACCCCCTCACTTTAAATCTGAAAGTGTCTTCGGGTTTAAAATGAGTTTCTTGTAGGCAACATATAGATGGGTTTTGTTTTTTTATCCATTCGTATACCCTGTGTCTTTTGATTGGGGCATTTAGCCCATTAACATTCAGGGTAACTATTGAGAGATATGAATTTAGTGCCATTATATTGCCTGTAAGGTGACTGCTATTGTATATTGTTTCTGTTCCTTTCTGATCTACTACTTTTAGGCTCTCTCTTTGCTTAGAGGACCCCTTTCAATATTTCCTGTAGAGCTGGCTTGGTGTTTGCAAATTCTTTCAGTTTTTGTTTGTCCTGGAAGCTTTTAATCTCTCCTTCTATTTTCAATGATAGCCTAGCTGGATATAGTATTCTTGGCTGCATGTTTTTCTTGTTTAGTACTCTGAATATATCATGCCAGCTCTTTCTGGCCTGCCAGGTCTCTGTGGATAAGTCTGCTGCCAATCTAATATTTTTACCATTGTATGTTACAGACTTCTTCTCCCGGGCTGCTTTCAGGATTTTCTCTTTGTCACTAAGACTTGTAAATTTGACTATTAGGTGACGGGGTGTGGACCTATTCTTATTGATTTTGAGTGGGGTTCTCTGAACCTCCTGGATTTTGATGCTTGTTCCCTTTGCCATATTGGGGAAATTCTCTCCAATAATTCTCTCCAATATACCTTCTGCTCCCCTCTCTCTTTCTTCTTCTTCTGGAATCCCAATTATTCTAATGTTGTTTCGTCTTATGGTGTCACTTATCTCTCGAATTCTGCCCTCGTGGTCCAGTAGTTGTTTGTCCCTCTTTTGTTCAGCTTCCTTATTCTCTGTCATTTGGTCTTCTATATCGCTAATTCTTTCTTCTGCCTCATTTATCCTAGCAGTGAGAGCCTCCATTTTTGATTGCACCTCATTAATAGCTTTTTTTATTTCAACTTGATTAGATTTTAGTTCTTTTATTTCTCCAGAAAGGGCTTTTATATCTCCCGAGAGGGTTTCTCTAATATCTTCCATGCCTTTTTCGAGCCCAGCTAGAACCTTGAGAATCGTCATTCTGAACTCTAAATCTGACATATTACCAATGTCTGTATTGATTAGGTCCTTAGCCTTTGGTACTGCCTCTTGTTCTTTTTTTTGAGGTGAATTTTTCCGCCTTGTCATTTTGTCCAGATAAGAGTATATGAAGGAGTAAGTAAAATACTAAAAGGGTGGCAACAACCCCAGGAAAATATGCTTTAGCCAAATCAGAAGAGATCCCAAATCGTAATGGTGGGGGGGAACGGGATAAAAAGAGGTTCAGAAAGAAAAAAAAAAAAGAAAAAAGATAAAAGAAACAAATAAAAAAAGAAAACCAATAATGAAAAAAATATAAAAAGGAAAAAATATATATATATTAGATAAACTAGTTAAAAAACGTTAAAAAAGAAAAGGGTAAAAGTTTAAAAAAATTTAGCAGAAGAAGAGAAAAAAAATTGAAAAAGAAAAAAAATTAAATTAACTGCAAGGCTTAAGAATCATGGGGAGAAAGCCATGAGTTCCGTGCTTTGCTTTCTCCTCCTCTGGAATTCCGCTATTCTCCTTGGTATTGAAACTGCACTCCCCGTAAGTGAACTTGGTCCTGGCTGGGTTTCTTGTTGATCTTCTGGGGGAGGGGCCTGTTGTAGTGATTCTCAAGTGTCTTTGCCCCAGGCGGAGTCGCACCGCCCTTACCAGGGGCCGGGCTGAGTAATCCGCTCGGGTTCGCTTTCGGGAGCTTTTGTTCCCTGAGCGCTTTCCGTAGAGTCCGGAGGACAGGAATGAAGATGGCGGCCTCCCAGTCTCCGGCCTGGAGGAGCCGAGAGCTCGGGGTCCCACTCTTCAGTGCGCCCTCAGGGAACAGCGTCCAGTTACTCCCGTCTGCCTGGCCTCCGGCCGCGCTCCGAGCTCACCGAGCCTGCGACCGGTTCAAGGTAAGCCCGAGCTTAGAGCTCACTCCTCGGCTCCGTCTCTGTAGCCGGCTTCCCCGTTCTAATACCTGCAAGCTCTGCGACACTCAGACACCCTGATCCTTCTGTGACCCTGCGGGACCTGAGGCCACACTGGCCCCGCGTGGGCTTCACCCCAGTTAAGCCTCTGGAGCGATGTCCCTCAGTGGAACAGACTTTTAAAAGTCCTGATTTTGTGCTCCGTTGCTCCGCCGCTTGCCGGGAGCCGGCCCCTCCCCCCGGGGTCGATCTTCCCGTCCCTTTGGATTCACTTCTCCGCCAGTCCTACCTTTCAGCAAGGGGTTGATTTTCTGTTTCTAGAATTGCTGTTCTTCTTCTCTTCGATCTCCCGTTGGATTTGTAGGTGTTTGCAATCTTTAGATAAGCTATCTAGCTGATCTCCCGCAACCTGAAGTAGTCTCAGCTGCTACTTCTCCGCCATCTTGACTCCTCCCTGATGTCAACTACATTTTTAAAGGATAATTATCTCTTATTCTTCTAGGGATTCCTATTTCATTTTAGGATTAAAAATGTTGCTATAAACTAAATGGGTGCCGTTGGGCTTAAAGTCTATTTCTGGGAATCCAGCTCCTTTGAAACTACTCATTCCTATTACATTTCCAGTCGATATCTATAAATCCATCTGACGCTAAAAAATCTGATGTGAAGAAATTGTAAATCTAAGTCCTTTCCTCTGCTCTAGACATAGTATGTCCAGAATTTACGAAGAGGTAAATGTAACATTTTCATCAGTTAATTGTTCCTTAGACTTAATGTCAGAAACATTTCAGGCAATCGAGAAGCAGGAAGGAACAACAACAACAAAAAGCAACTTTAATGGATTCCTCAGAGAGTTCCTTTCTGGATTGTAAATCATTGTTCTTATGTTTTCTCTTTGGCTGTTTTAGGAGATACACAAATGAAATACAGGATGCAAATGAATCAAAGACTAACAAGACATAGGATAATATTAAAATAGTCCCACTTTGCCTGTATGGGACAAAGGCAGTCTACTCCATGAGGGGGATAAAAGCAAATATCAACGAAAGATTTTTACCCTTGTGAAAGTGCAAGCCTCCTTTGCTTGGAAAGAGCCATGGGGGGCGCCATCTTGTGATGAGGACTGTAGGGATGCTGACGGGATCTGAAATGGGAGCCATATATGAACCCCCACCTGGAAGGAAGGAATGAACTTGGCGAGCTCAGGAGAAGCACCCACTGACAATGTCTCTCTTGGCTGCAGGGTCTCATGGATCAGTACACCAGTCAGTCAACCCGCATATCAGTATTTTCTGCCCTTTAGAAACCATGATGGTATTGACCATTGCTGAGTGTGGTCTGTGTATTTACAGACTATCTTGCTTCAGATTGAAAGATACAGTTTGGGGGTCTGCTGTGTTGAGATCCCTCTAATTTTCTATTTGAATGTTTCCAAGCTTTGTAATTACCCCATCAGGTACTTAGTCATAATGAGTCAAGTTTAAACTGAATATGCTCTAGCACCCCCTTTTCATATATATTTTCTTTCTTTCTTTTTTTTTTTTAAGATTTTATTTATTTATCTGACAGAAAGAGATCACAAGTAGGCAGAGAGGCAGGCACAAAGAGAGGGGAAGCAGGCTCCCTGCTGAGCAGAGAGCCCAATGTGGGACTAGATCCCAGGACCCTGAGATCATGACCTGAGCCGAAGGCAGAAGCTTAACCCACTGAGCCACCCAGGTGCCCCCAAATATTTTCATCCCATACATCAAGTTTGGTGTCAAAAAGTACAAGGAGTATGGAAAAATACAATAATACATTGAAGGGCAGAACATTAAAAAAATTACCTCACTCTTCAAATTTTTTAAGGTTTAGAAAATCTGTTAGTATTTTTAAGCATTTTAAGAATTATTATAAACCTTCTTTTAGAGTATCTTCTGAGGGCATCTAGCTGGCTCAGTTGGTAGAGCATGTAACTCTTGATCTCAGGGTTGTGAGTTTGAGCCCCACGCTGGGTGTACAGATTGCTCCGAATGTCTGTCTTTACTGGGTTGAGATCATGTTCCTATTGTGAGCACACAGTAGAGCTCAATGAAAGCTTGTTTTCAGAATGAGTTACTATAAAGAGATACTTTTTCTCTTTTACCATAATAGGTAATATCTGTAAATAGTGTTATCTTTACCTATGATATTTATATAACAAAACTAAGTTCAGTATAAGAACTGATTTAAAGTAATACATAAAGAACGGGAAGTTAAAGGTGGGAAATTAAAGGATTAAAAAAAAGAAGTCTAGGATCTGCCTGTGAATTTCTCAATATAACATGCTTGGCCAGGAAAACAGAAATGAATACTGGTGAATGAACTTCAAATGAAGGGCAGGTATCAATATAAAGCCATGTAAATTTAAATTAACGTAAAGAAAACACAATTATTTGTAAAACCACCATATACAGTAAGAGACAGGATGCTTTCTTTCAACTTGCATTCTCCATACTGTCCGTGCAAAATTGCTCGTGGAGTCCTCCAAGGGGCGTCTGGGGCCAGATGTGGAGAAAACATCTGGTACATCTTGAAGCCATGTGGCCTGCCCACCCTCTTTAACTGGATGGAGTCTGGCCAGGTCCTGGCTGTGCTTCTGAGCCAGCCGTCTGGAGGTGTGAGACCTGCAGCACAGGCAGCAGCAGCTGGAGGGCGTCCTGGATGTACGTGGTGCTGTTGCAGCCCTGAGAGGAGGGAGACACGTGCTTGAAGCGCTGCCTTCAGGGTTCAGTCCTGACAATTCCTCCCTCCTGATAACGGTCCCTCTCTTCAAACCTCAGAATCTCTTATAATATGCTCCCCTTAATGCTGGTGCTTAAAGCAAATGTAAACCTGCTCCTTTGGATGGAATGCATTCAGCTCTCTAACAGAGAGAATTTACTCCACGCGAGGCAAATCATTTCCATCGATTTGGAGGGTACATGAATATGTGTGCATTCATGACCCAGTATGTCTGGTCTTGCCCATCCTTCTCCCAGTCCAAGCCCACTGTCCTGAAATAACACAAAAGCATAGGGTGCAGGAAGCCCTAGTGTGGGCTAGAGCGTGGGATGCATAAAGGGAGCTGGAGATATTATGGCGCAATTATTCATGGCCAGTCCCTGAAGGCTGTCCTCCCGCTCATGTCAGTCTTTTCTACTTGGCTTGGCTATTTGGTGTTGCCATTCGTGTTCGGTGGTACCCTAATGTACAGCAGTGGACAGAGAGGCCAATTAATGTTTCAGGTCACTAAGTCATAAGAAAACTCCCGCCGGGGAAATGAATCAACACTTGACCACGTATTCTTCACGACTGACATAGTAAATTAATTGGCTGATGCCTTCTGGGTGGCCGGGGGAGATATATTCTTGTTCCACAGTCTGCCTCTGACTGCCTGGCCTTCCTCTTAGCTGGGTCCCCCAGAGCCTTCCCCTCCGGCTCCTTGTCCCTGCTAGTTGACCTCACCCCCCACCACATGGCAGTGTCCCAAATGGTGACACTTGATGCCACTGCTTTGTTATATTTGTATCTTGGTAGTTTTCCTTAACATTAAGGCCAATTCCCACAGATGTCACTATAAGGATAGAGGGAGCCTTCCCTGACTTACATTTGGTAATTTCCAAACGCTGCAACTAACAGGCAACTTCAGCGTATACAAAAAAACTGCTGGATATGCCTTGCTCACGTTCAAACTTCACCCCTTAACACCCATGGTTTCAGCTGGGTGCCCTGGGGCTACAGATGGGCCAGTTCCTTAGAGTGAGGCCTGTCATGGAAGGTTTTCCTCCACCAGCACAGGTGGAACACTGCAAGAATGACACCTCCCAGGCCTATTTTCTTCTCTCTTATGTCACTACTTCTGGCAAGACCCCAGTGGTCTACGGACAGCTTCATAGCAGTGTTACTCAGTCCTGGTGAGCTGGCAGGCCATGGAGTGAGCGAGTGGTCTCTGAGGACAGAGCCTCCGGTCACTCAACAGGCAGACGCTGACCCGGCTACTCTGAAGCTTAGACCCAGCTACACCACAGGTTCTCACGCATGAGGAGAAGCGCCCATTTTTACAGAAATCATCAAGCAAGAAGCCCTCGTTGCAGCCACTAATCAGAGTGTTAAATCTGGTGTGAAACTTGGTAGTAGAAATGTGCTTCTGCCGGAGGAAACAGGAACAGAAATAACATGCAAGCTTAGCGTTTTCTCTTTATAATCAGGAATTCTTGAAAATTAGGGATTGTTGTTTCACCCCATGGCTTAACAGCTGGTTGGGCTACACACATGTACTCAAAAAAAGGCTGTTGATGGTAAGATTTAGAATTGCAATAACACTCACTGCCTGGGAAAAGGACAAAAAAAAAGTAGCTGTAACATTTGCTTTGATTCAGAAGCACTTTCTCTCTGGGGGCCACTTACCTCTAACAAGACGCTATTGATCATGGGGTTAAGGACCTCGGCCTTCTTGTCGCTCTGTGGAATCAAAAGAAAGAAATTGACAGATTAGGTGCTCCTACTATAAGGCTTGCCATGTGAAATGTCGTATGCTGGCTTTGTCGAGGGATCTCTTAAAGAGGAAGGCGAGGAGACGCAGGCTGCTTATTATAGGCCAGGCTTCTCATTTAATTTTGACAGGAATCCTAGTAGGTAGGGAGGTACCGTGATAACCGTAATTTAGAAATGAGAAACTAGGAATCAGGAAGGTTGAGGAACTTGTTTAAGGTCACACAGCTAGAAATTTAAACACAGATGTTTTTAACTATCGAAAGCTTGTAGCCCATCTGGGATTATAGAGGGTGAGTGAGGCTGAGTCCTACAAGCACAGTCTCTACTGTAAATGTTGCTGTTTTGTTTATCATGATCTTTTTGCATTCATTTTCATTTCTTAAATTTTACATCAGAATATCTATCTGGATGACTGATGTTGTTTCTTTGTGTGGGGCGGGGTAATTTTTAAAATTTTGCAGGTGAGTTAAGTACCTTACTGACCCATCTAGTCCCAGCCCCAGTCCGTAGCCTTATTTTCTTTCTTGTTTTAAATGCAAAGATGGGTATTTTGTTATAGGGTATATTTTCCAGATTAGCAGCAAAAATAACATATTCTTTTTTAAAATGATCTTTTTCTTAATTCCTTTTTTTTTTCTTTTTAAAGATTTTATTTATTTATTTACTTGACAGAGAGAGACACAATGAGAGAGGGAACACAAGAAGGGGGAGTGGGAGAGGGGGGAGCAGGCTTCCCCCTGAGTAGGGAGCCCGGTGTGGGTCTTGATCCCAAGACCCTGGGATCATGACCTGAGCCAAAGGCAGCCACTTAATGACTGAGGCACCCAGGTGCCCCTTAATTCTTCTTTTTTTAAAATAAAAAGATTTATTTATTTATTTTAGAGAGAGAGGGAAAGGGAGAAATCATGCTCTCTCTTGTGCACCAGCAGCAGGGAGGGGCAGAGGGAGCAGAATACAGAAAACCCTCAAGCTGACTCCCAGTTGAGTGCAGAGCCCTACATGGGGGTGCATCCCAGGACCTGAGATCATGATCTGACCTGAAATCAAGAGTCTGCCGCCTAACTGAATGAGCCACCCAGGCGCCCTGAAATTAACCATTCTTCAATATCACTTCCAGACAGATCTGCAGATTCCAATTTGCAAACCATGAGTATATGTAAAGCCTGATGTTAAGTAGGTGTCCAAAAAGTGAGAGCTAGAGCTACTATCATTATTATTATTTTCACTATTAGTCTATCAATCAACAGTCTTCTCTAAGCGTTCACTCTACTCTTAGACAATAAATAATTCAAGAGACTGGAAAGAGAGAGGGCAAGTTTAATAGGCTGGTTTTCCTTACTGTACCCAGGAGACTTTATGGTAAACAAAAGTATATAGATTAAATATATCTTTTCAGAGCAGCAAATTTCCATCAACACTGCTCTACTGAGGGCAAAGTAATACCTTACTGGGGAAACCACAATGGAGTCTTGGGGAAACACTTGTTAAAAACCCAGTCATTTCAGTAACTAACCAGAAAATCCATTATGGTATCTGCTTTCATGTTTATTTGATTATCAATAAACCTTTAAAATATAATCAAAATGAGGGCAATAAAATGACATTGGTTTTCAGAATCAATGAGATGTGCAAGCCATTTAAATGGAGTCTGGAGAGCGACTCATTAACTTCAAGTTATGAATAATGGCTGTTTCAGAGAACAGAAACCTGATATCCATGATTCATCCCAGCACAAGATTGGGGGTGTTGCAGTGACGGGATGACATTTCAGTAAACTCTGTTTAGCTCTAGCCTTTTCTTTCTCCAAAGCGGTAACCTGTGTCTTCTGGATTTTGTGTGCAGAAACACCAGTACACATGTACAATATACGTGTGTACATGGGTGTAAGCGCAAGTGCACACCCAGTTGCTAGAGCCTCACTACTCAGAATGTACTATGCAGAATCTCAGTCCTCATCCCCGGCCAATGGGCTCAGAACTTGCGTTTTAACAAGTTCTTTGGGTGATGTGTACTGTACTGGAAGACAACAGGTCAAAAGAAATGGGAAGCAACATCTGAACACTACCCATGACTGTAAATAAAAGGATGTCCACAAGTCAGAGAAACCATATCTCTCTCTCTCTCACAAACACACACACACACACACACACACAACACCGCTAGATGGCCAAAGAGAAACCAACAGTTGGCCACCTGTCCGATGGGCGGCCACCTGGGATGTGAGAGATCAGTTGAGAGGGCTGGGGGCATCAGTCATCCCTTCGGGCTCCAGATTCCCACCTCCAGAACTGGGGGAAGAGCAAGCAGAGGGTACAGAGAGCCTTGGGAAGCCGGGTGGTTGAGGCCGTCTCGTCCTGATTAAGACCTCACACATTTCTGTTAAACTTGGCAGTCTCACCCCACAGCCCACAGGGGCCAGTTACTCAGACAACACTGAGCACATGAATGCGTTTGATCACGCCTATCATATCCATGAACTTCTCTCTCCTGCCCATCACTCTGCCTACATACAGTGAAGCTCTCACTGCGGAAGCCCCCAAATTCTACAAGAACGAAAGCTCAGGTTTTGCGAAATAGGAGAAGCCAACCAGATTCCTTGACGACAGAGTGAATAGGTAGTAGATGATTCAGCCCTAATTAATTGAGTCGCTTCCCTGCTGACAGGTGTATAGTCATTTCTACTTCTTTTGAGGACTGCCCTTGGCCTTGGCGGGGGTGGAGTGGGGAAGTGAACCTCAACAGCCAGCTAGGTCTGCATGATAACATCCCGTCCCCAGTCACTACAGGCGATACCAAGAGGACCTGTGACCCACACTACTGAGTCCTGCAGCCTTCTCAGCCGGGAACCCCATATATGAATGGAAAGACACGAGGTCTGGGAAATACTACAACTGAGTCACGTGAATGGTGAGACTTTGGAGAGGGAATATGTATTCTGCCACTGAGTCCCCCCAGAGGGTCACTTTCCTCCACTGCCTTTAATAAAGTCCCTTTCCTGGTCGATTATGTAGAGCTCGTTTCTGTTCCTTCCTCTTAAAGGCTGAACTGAGTCCTCCCAGAGAGATACAGTGCAGTCCTGCCCTCCAGGACATCAGAATGGGCCCTTCCTGGGAGAGAGGGTCATTGCGGATGTCACGGGTTACAAGGAGCCTTTTCAAAGTCGTTCCCTGTGGAACAGAGACACTACTTGCATTGGTAAGTCTTTTATTTTGGTTCCACTTCAAGTGAAATAATAAAGAAACCTCTCACCTTGGGTGGCGTCCATACGCCAGGTTCTGAGGACAACAGTGAATGCGAATATTCAAAATTATTCTAGTAGAGATTTTTGAATTGGATCACAGGTATTAATTAATGAAAGGAACTTTCATTTGGCTTCCATTTGTTTATTTATTTGAGAGAGAGTACCAGCCGGGCGGAGGAGCAGAGGGAGACAGAGAAGCAGACTCTCTGCTGAGCCAGGAGCCCGACTCGGGACTTGATCCTAGGACCCCAGGATCATGACTTAAGCCAAAGGTAGACGCTTAACTGATTGAACCACACAGGCACCCCTGACTTCTTTTTAAACAAATAAAGAAAATTAGGCCCACAGATGTTTCAAAACCCACCTAATATCTTGTAAGTTGGAGATGGCAGGGTCAGGACTAGAACCCAGTCAGGTCAGAGCCCTAGACTACCTGTCCTGACAGAAGGTGCTCCTGGCCTGGTTTCGGGAGACATCATGGTGTAGTGTCTGTATACGGAGCTCTCAGAGAAGGCCTCCTGCACGTCTCCTCACACTTCCTCACAGACCCAGCTTCCATAAAGGGTGGGAGAAAGAATCAGTATTAGACACTTACCCCAACAGTGGTTAAAAAATTCATAAACTTCTTTGATAAGGAGGCCACTTCTTTACACATCGCAGTAGTTAATCTGAAAGGAAAAAAAAAGTGGTTTTGGGGGACTTTCCATCAGATAAAATAATTTAACCCTCAAGACAATGGCTGGTATTGATACCATATTCCATTTAAAAGAACACACACAAATTTGAAGGTGTTTTGTGGAAATGTGTTCCCCAACAATCTTCCATGACTCACGATCACCCTTGAATCGAATCCTGGTTTCCTCGGCATGTGTAGTTAAGGAATAATTGCCTAATTCACCCTACCTCTTTTTAGAATCAAAAGCACGTGCAGGAAAATTTGAGGCTTGAGCACCATATGTTTAGCAGTGTAAGCCTCTTGCCAAGTGAATTTTCTCTCGCTTTCTGGTCATTTTGAAATAATAATGAGCATTCACTGAGGTACTATGTCAAGTACTTTTTTTTTTTTTTTAAGCTTTTATTGATTTATTTGACAGAGGGAGTGGGAGAAGGAGGCTCTCCACTGAGCAGGGAGCTGACACAGGGCTCAATCCCAGGACCCTGGGATCATGACCTGAGCCGAAGGCAGATGCTTAACTGACTGAGCCACCCAGGTGCCCCATTAAGTACTTTAATATGAGTAATCATATTTAATCCTCATAGCGACCTTATGGATTACATTAATATCCCCATTTTATAGATGATAAAACTGGCGCTTAAGAAAGCTAAGCAACTTTTTTTTTTTTTTTTTAAATAGGTCCTGTGCCCAACATGGGGCTTGAACTCATGACCCTGAGATCCAGTTGCATGCTCTAAGGACTGAGTCAGCCAGGCACCCTAAGAAGGTTAAATAACTTGCTTAGGACATGCTGGGATAGAGCTGGGATTCAAATTCAGATGTCTCTTGATTTCTTGATTACATTTTTTATTAGATGCCTTATAATAAAGTTTCTATAAAATCTGTTCTTAAGACTTATATCAAAACTCCCAAGTTCATTCTAGCCATTTGACTTGTAAGGATTTTCCCCAAGAAAATAATGCAAGACAGGTGCAATATTTAGCAAATATTGCTTTGATGACAAAAACTGAAAACAACCCAGTTAACGTAACGATGTGAATATTTGTTTTCTTTTATAATTTGTATATATGACTTTTATGAATAGTGGTTAAAATGCTGTTAGAAAAACAGTAACTCCAAGTCAAGAATCTTATATTTTAAAAGATATAGTGAAATCGGTAGAGCTAAGCTTTGTTTTGATAAATAGGGGTTCTAAGTCATGTTTTTTGGTTTGTTGAGCTCTATCTGTCCACCATCCCATCCATCCATCCATCCATCCATCCATCCATCCATCATCTATCCATCCAAAACTTATCTGCAGAAAGGGTCAGGAGTAAGGTCCAGGGATAGCCCAGAGCCATTTTGTCTATGTTCTTGGGCAGATGGGTGGAAAGGCACTTCTCATATAGACAAATGTGAGGTCTTGTTAGCTTTTGCTTGGCGCAGCTTGGCAGGGTTGGGATAATCTGGACTGGAAATCAGAGGTGCTAAGAGTAAGGTCCAACTATACAAACATGGGGACTTCTGAACACTCTCCCTTTACAAACAAGTACCACACACATATAAAGAGCACTTAGAGGTTTTCCTCTCTATTTGAAACTTCTCCTAATTTTCCCTTTCCTCTTCCTTCTATACACTAAGTACATATTTTTTCTAAGTCTATTAAGTGCAGGATTTCGTAGCTCTTCTAATATCTTTGATTTTCATATGTTTAGGTAAGAACATCTAGACTCAGTGACACAAACTTACAAGTGAGGAGCAATCTACCAGCAGCACAGAGTTGCTAATACTGACTTTCTGGAAGGTTCTTTTTTTTTTTTTTAAGAGTTTATCTATTTATTTGACAGAGATCACAAGGAGGCAGAGAGGCAGGCAGAGAGAGAGGAGGAAGCAGGCTCCCTGCTGAGCAGAGAGCCCAACATGGGGCTCGATCCCAGGACCCTGGGACCATGACCTGAGCCGAAGGCAGAGGCTTTAACCCACTGAGCCACCCAGGCGCCCCTTCTGGAAAGTTCTTTGTTGAAACATCTGCTCCCCAATCGACGATGCCAAATGCAGTCATAAGCAAAGACGAGTCAGCTAGCAAAGTGAATGGGGGTGTTGCGATGCGTGTGTGTGTGTGTGTGTGTGTGTATCCATATATTTTTAGAAGGCTCTATTTTAATTCCTGTGTCTGTGTAGTAACGAGAAGGTGTTTGGATTCGTGCTAATTTTCTATATCATGCATAAAGCCATGAGCGTAAAGTTAATGGCTTGTTTTTTAGCTCCATACCAACTGTTTTCATAGAGGCTCCGTACCGACTATTTTCATGTATGTAAAGCCACATCGATACACATTTTTATTTCACTAGATCAACTAATCATAGTGGCTCCTATTTGTTGAAGAATCTAACATATGACGGCACATACGCACACACATGCCATCCACAGGGAACTGGCTTACATCACCAACCATCTTTGCCAGCATTCAGAGCTGGTGTCAGTCCCTAGGAACAGCAGGGGTGTGTTTGAATATCTTTGCAAAGCTGGCTGAGAAGTCACACTAAAAGATGTTCTTTCTCTATTCTTGTGGTGTGTTAAAAATGCAATTACCCGGGCGCCTGGGTGGCTCAGTGGGTTAAGCCGCTGCCTTCGGCTCAGGTCATGATCTCAGGGTCCTGGGATCGAGTCCCGCATCGGGCTCTCTGCTCAGCAGGGAGCCTGCTTCTCTCTCTCTCTCTCTCTCTCTCTCTCTCTCTGCCTGCCTCTCTGTCTACTTGTGATATCTCTCTGTCGAATAAATAAATAAAATCTTTAAAAAAAAAAAATGCAATTACCCCTAAAAGTCTGTACTTCTAAGACTTCAATCTGTGAAAATAAACACTTACCCTTGAATGCTTTAGTGTGTCTTTCCTTAAGCCTCTTCATAAATAATTCCTAATTATTATTCTTGCTAACATGATTCAGCTAAGAATCCTGTGAATCCTAAGAGAGTCTATTTCTTAAGATGACCACAGAACAACGGAATTAGTTGACTTATAATTTAAAACTTTAGCAGCCTAGGGGGCATGCGTGTGAATGGCACACATATATAACACCGGAAACTAAGAATTAAAAGTAACATTTACTTTATCAGAACTCTTGCTTGGTCCTGAGCTGGTTTTTCCTCTTCTTGCCCATGAAGAATTAATTCTGCTACTTTATGAAGCTGCTCGATACAGCGTGCTGTTACTTCTGCCAGACTTTCGATGCACAGCATATACACTTCCTGAAACAGATAAATGCAAGTAAGACAATTAACCACGGAGCAGAAGCTTTTTTAAAAAACCCTGTGATGTGGGCACATGGGTGGCTTAGTTGTTAAGCGTATGCCTTCGGCTCAGGTCATGATTCCAGGGTCCTGGGATAGAGTCCCACGTGGGGCTTCTTGCTGCACGGGAAGCCTGCTTCCCTCTCCCTCTCCCCCTGCTTGTGTTCCCTCTCTCATGGTGTCTCTGTCTGTCAAATAAATAAATAAAATCTTTACAAAAAAAAAAAAGATTAAAAAAAAAGATAAAAAAAAAAATCAAAAACAAAATCCTGTGATAGGGGGCGCCTGGGTGGCTCAGTCCATAGCGCAGGGGACTCTTGATCACAGAGTCGTGAGTTCAAGTCCCACATTGGGGGTAGAGTTTACTTAACAACAACTACCCTATAATGTTAAAAATATATATATAATTCTTTAAAAAAAAAAGGTCTGAAAAGTTTAACCAAAGGTTAGTGGGCATATCTGATACTCTTCTAAGGAGAAATGCTGTGCTAAAAAAGAAGTATTGCCAGGCCCCCAGGTATGTGGCAACCCTTACAACCATGTCCCTAGTTCTCAGAGAGACTCTGGGCACACACCAGGCAGGGGCTCAAAAATGCTTGTGGAAGGGCGACTAAATAAAGAAACCTCAATGGCCATTTCTCTTTACAGTGACTGAATTTACAAAGTTACTTTCCGGGGGTGCCTGGGAGCCTTGGTCGGTTAAGTACCCAACTCTCGGTTTTGGATCAGGTCACGCTTTCGCAGTTGTGGGATCAAGCCCCCCATTGGACTCTGCACTCAGCGTGGAGTCTGCTTCAGAGTCTCTCTCCCTCTCCCTCCCACTCACTCTCTCTCCCTCACAAATAAATAAATAAAATCTTAAGGAAAAAAAAAAACTTATTTTCTCTAAAATGAAAATTCAATGTAAAAATGAAGTCACTACACATTTTTGAACACAGGCAGGCTATAAATTATGCACACATTAATTTATTAAACTACAGAATAAAAACTGTGGCCATTAAATTTTTTGGGGGAAAAAAGCTTCAATTGCCTCATTAGTTTATGGGGCATAAAGACATTTTATAGTTACAAATTTGCATATCAGATGGAATTTTATCCTAATGATAAATCAATGATATTCTTGAAGATTTTTTTCCTTTAAATTAAAGCTCATAAAGCTCTGGAGGAAAACAACAACATCTATGCTAAGTCACGAACTGCCCTGGCATTGAGAAATTTTAGTGTTTATCACATTAATCCTCATATTTCTATACTGTTGAAACAGGGCGCAAATGAAAATGAAGTGGTTTCTCCTCACTCGAAATTCGGCTGCTAATAAAATTAAAGGCATATTACTGCTCTTCAGGTGGCCAAGCTCCAATAAATGTACCTCAACTGTCTTAGTTCTCCTTTCTTCCTTTTTGTCTTCTTCAGGATTTTCTGGTTTCTCTTCCGTCTCTTCCTCTCCAGTGTTCTCCTCTGACTGTTCCGCCATATTTATGGACACCGTGGCCTCATCTTCTTCTACCCAGTCATGAGCTTTCTTCATGGCCTGTGAAGCCCCCACCAAGCCAAAGCAAATTATTCGTTATGCAAATCTGGAGACTAAGACATTCCAATCCCAAGACTAATGTTGCCCTCCACCTTCTGGGGTGATTCTACAACCTTCAAAAAGTTGATGCAGGCAAATCCTTAGTCTCCCTAAAAACACCTTGTTGGTGCTTTCTGGTGACTCTCAAGTAAGGAAAGGGGCCAGAACAGAAAGGAAGGATGGAGAGAACACTGTGGACCCTTTTCAGAGATCACTGTAAAAGGATACACGGATTAAGAATAAAAATGACAGTGACCTTGAAAGAGTGATAGTATATTTTTCACTTTTCATGACCAACTATAAAAGAATAACCGTTCTCTCTCTCTCTCTCTCTCTCTCTATATATATATATATATATATATATATATACACACAGGCGAGAGATTTAGCCAGGGTCATTGCTGAAGCAAATTTCCTCATTTGATATGTCTCATGAAGCCCTTAATGTTTCATGAACCTAATAATGTATGACACGGGGAGGATGAAGAATGGCTCAGCTCTTGCCCAGTCACTCAGGGGAAGGAGAGGTGCCGTTGTGAAGACCAGGGGCTGCTCTGTCACTAATTTTGTTTCACGAATACAGGCAGAGCAACCTGTGGCCGAAGGCATTACGGCTCACGTGACCAAGCAGAGCGACCTCCCTTCCCTGTTACTCCCTGCATCCAGAAAGGGCAGCTCATCCCCCTTTTATCATTACAGCCTAAAGCTGTTTGCTTAAGTGCAAGCTATGTCTGGGTTTATGTTAAACTTGCTTCTCCTCTTCAAGCTCACCTGCTTTTTGTCAACAAGCCAGTGGCACCTCGGAGGCACCACGGGATCCACGCACGTGCGCGCGCGCGCGCGCGCACACACACACACACACACACACACACACACACACATTCTGTCTCTCTCTCTCTCTCTCCCCAAGCAGGGGCAGGTGCTGCGCGGAGATGAATGAGGCAATTTCCCTGCTGTGTTCAAGTCACTGACCTGTCAGAATCGGTGACCTCTATCCGAGATAAAGAAATTACTCATGTCTCCCCCTCATTGTCTCATCCTGCCCTTTCCTCACCTGCCTTGATAAGTGTTACCTGTGTTCCCTACCGCTTGCTAAAGAGAAGGGAAAAAGAGAGAGAGTGAACAGGAAAAAGAACGCAGTTCTAAGTAATTAATAATGAATGCCCTCATTAAGAAACTCTACCGCAAGACCTTATACTAACTCACAAAACATACAATTAGAAGCAGCCAGAGTGACAAGGCTGGATCGTTCTAGGACACCGCGTGGCACCGGCATTAGGGGTGGGGTATTGGGGAGGAAACGCGTGGCTGACCTGGTTGATGGGCTTCTCTCTGCCTCATTCTGACTCGTCACCCCCGCGGGGGTAAGGAAGATGGAATTTGCAAAAGCCCTTTGGTGAGCCTGCACCCCTCTTCCCCTTTGCGGAAGATACCCATAGCTCCGATATACAAGTCTACCTTGAGGAGAAGTGACTTGTTCAAGGTCACAGGGTAATTACTAGTGACCTGTTGCATGTTCCCTCCCATCACAATTCACTGTGTGGCCCCTGGGGATCTTAATCACCGACATCATACTCTCCTCCCCTCGTGTGCCATTTGGGGCTTGGGGTTTGTCCATTTCAGGTGGATCACTTGAATTTTTAGAACCAATACCCTAAAAAGAGCAACAACAATAAAAACTCTGATGTAGACAGTGCTGACCTTATTGAGCTTATCAGGCGTGGCCGCGACGTGTAATTCAAAGAGAAGTTCTGTAAGCGTGCTAGCAAATTCTTCTCCCTTTTCCTCTGAGGCTGGAAACAGAAAATGACAGAAGTCGGAAGCGTGATTTTTTTTTTCATCCTTCAATATGTGGCAGTTCCCCTGACCTTACAGCCTGCAGTCAGAGTCAAAGTGGGGGGCTCAACAGTCACCCCCCCCCACTCCCCGCCTGCCAGAGGGCAGCTTAGGAGCACCCGCTTAGAAGGACGACAGTCAGGCAGCCAGCCGCTGCCGCCATGCGAGGGGCTGCCCGAGGCTCGTGTTGTTTGAAGCTCTAGCTGAGGGGGGACCCTCAGGCTGGCCTGAAGGCCACATGAGGACAGGGAGGGAGTGATCGGTCTTGCTTGCAGCTGTACATAATCAGTAGCTATCTGCTGAACGAATGACTGAACGAACAAATGAATGATGTAGCTCAGGTCTAGAAGACCCGGACAACCATATATTTATGACCTGGAGAATTGCTGTGCTTAGCACTGCAACCCTAGTAATACCCACACCACCCTTTTACGGCCACAGAGCCACAGTGCTTAGCTAGCTGAACTCATCTCCACAAACCATATGCTGTCAGAAGTAATGACACTGCATCTCTGGAGAAATGTCCCGAGGTTTCTGGGGATACCTGTTGGCCCTATACTACTTCTTACTATGCTTCCCTCCAGATGGAAGCTGCCTAAGGACAGACATGATATTTGCTTCTGCTCATTCCTGGATTCGGAGTGTGTAACAGTGCCTGGAACATAAATGTTTAATAAATACTTGGTATATATTTAACAAACATTATTTATTCTAAGTATTTATTAAATAAGTATTTATTAAATAGTTTGTTGATAAATTGTTCATATAGAATAATATAGAGAGCACACAGATCATGGTCTGCATACTACAGCCTCAGATAAAAATAAATGGATATCACTGGTGGGCAATAGAGAGAGATTTTTAAAAATTACAATTCTATTTCTTTTTCTCATTTGTATCTGAGGGTTTAAGTCATTTTTAAAGTGCCCAAGTGCTGAAGAATTGATTGCACAGTGGGTTCACCACCAGTTTGTGTGTGTGGGGGGGAGATAAAAGCATCCTTCATCAGCCCTGATTACATCATCTGAAAATACTCTGGCTTATGTCAGTGGGTGAAGGCAGTAGCTTCAGGGACAACTAAGCCATGTGAGAAAACCCGTATCTAGCTTGGGTGTATGTGCTCTTTTCTATTTTACAGACAAAATGGCTAATTAGCAGCTTGTGAAGACAGCCAGGGGTAACCTGCAGGTCTTTGTTCACAACACTGGGCTTCATCACATCATCTAGAATCCGCATATTCTCGGGGGAGAGACAGATTAATAAACAGAATAGAGAAATAAAACACATATGTCAGATGGTAAGTTTTATGGAGAAGTATAAACCGAGGCAGAGGAACAGGGACGGCTGGGGGTCGGTCGGGAAACGAGAGGGTAACTGACAAGATGCCATTTGAGTAATGACCCGAAGGGAGGGGTGAGCAACACCAGATGGGGAGCGGGCAGAGCTGTCCAGCCAACTCGAAGTCCGGGAGGGAGTGTGCCCGGCTTGCTCAGGGGCAGCAAGGAGGCCAGGGTGGCCGCAGCAGGGGCGGGGAGGTGTGTACCTTGTGGGGGATGGAGACAGAGAGAGAGAGAGAGATGGGTGTCTTTGTTCAGGATGAAGCTGACACTAGCCAGTCATTATAACCCAAAGAGGTAAGTGTGCTGAGTGCACCGAATCTTACCCTCAGAGGGGTTGTTAAGAAGGCTTCCTGGAGGAGGTGATACATGAACCTAGTCTTCAAGAACGAGAAGACATTAACTACTTGCACAAAAGGAGAGATGGAGGGCTAGAGAGTCAGAGAGAGAGAGACAAAGCTGAGATCCTCTCTCTGCTGGGCAGAGGTCTTGGTCTCATCCTCTCTAGGAAGGCAAAGTAAGAGGGGGCAGGGACACACCTGGGTGGCATTGACTAAGGTCTTGCTCCAAATTACCTGGTCTTTCTCATTCTGTAGGAGGTAATACTGCAGGGCAGAAAGAGCCCCGGGCTTAATTGTGGCAGGTGTGGGTTTTTACCCCAGTTCCTGCATTCAGAGAATCTGTGGCCTGGGGCTAGTCATGGTTCTTCTTAGCTTCCATGTCTTCCTATAAATTTAGGATAATAAAACCCACCTATTGGGGCGCCTCAGTGGTTCAGTTGGTTAAGCCTCTGCCTCCCTCATGGGTGGTGATCTCAGGGTCCTGGGATTGAGCCCCTCGTCAGGCTCCCTGCTCAGTGGGGAGCCTGCTTCTCCCTCTCCCTCTGTCCTTCCCCCCTGCTTGTGCTCTCTCAAATAAATAAAATCTTTAAAATGCAAAATAAAATAAAACCCACCCATCTCAGCTGTAGCATTGCTGTAAGAGATCAAATAATACAGCAAATGTGAAAGTGTTTTGTAAACACTAAAGTTTTATCTAACTATATTGTTATGGGCGACAAAGATATAAACACAGGGAGATTAAAAATATCTGGGAATCATCAACACTAAACTCGGATGCAAGTAGTTTGTGTCACTCCAGCTTTTAAATGCTTTTTGTTCTAGAAAACAGAAAAGGACACATAACTTTTAGCACGTATTTTAGGGGAAAAAAATTACATAGAAAAATGGAAGTGGGTAAAAACAGATGATAAATAACGTTGCCACAAAGAACACCTATTACTACAGCACTTGGTTCGTACATATGGTCCAGATCTTCACCAAGGCAATAAAAATAGAAAATAGCCTTTTAAAAACCTCTTCACGATAGTGGTAAACCAAATTAGAGACCCATGGCAGTGTGATAAAATTACACGCTGCTGGAAAGACAAACAGGCAAATCATTAGCTAACACTATCAAACAGAGGAGCCCAAGGTTGAGTTTATCTAAAAATGACAGTTGGATACATTTTTCCAAGACTTGCAAATGAATTATTTAGGTGTTAAGAGGCTTTTAGGAATGTAAATGCTTACAAGGGGAAAAAAAAAAAAAGTGCATGGAATGCTTTGGTTTCTCCCAGAGTTTTCCTCCTGGCTTCTCCACTCACCCCCACTGGTGAAATCCTCTCTATGGCATTCAGATAATGCCTCCCCCTGGATGGAGCTGTCATGCTCCATCATAATTGGACTGATTTAATGACACCCCTGCTATTCTTTTCTCCTGGTAATCCTTTATGTGTTTGACATTTATTTATTAAATTAAGTTAATTAAAATTAATAGTGTTTTGATAATCTGGAGATGTCCTATGGGAAAATGGATATATTATGGGAGATAATAGGGTTCACTTATGGAGAGATAAATCAACCATTTCCTAAGCATTGTGTTCAGGACTTCATCATATATATATATATATATATATATATATATATTTTTTTTTTTTTTTTTTTTTTTTGTGGGGGGGGTTATAGGGGAAAAAAATCCCAATTTACTGAAGCTCATATTAAGACTGGAACACACTGCATATAGTAACATTTTCCATCTAGTAGTATCGAATCAAGGTTCCTCTCTAAGAAATTGTGCTAGCTGGGGATGCGTACTGCTTTAACTTGCACCTGCAACACTATCACTTTGAGGTTAGGAGAAATCTGGAATCTTTTTCTTATCCTTTCTGAATGACACACCCTATAGGATCCAGGTCTACCTCTGGCATCATGCAACCAAAGAGAAATAACCTGGATCTTTTTGGGTGATCGTTACTCTGGAAAACAGGCATCTCTCTTGGTTCATCTTGGGCCCATAATATTACCTGTATGAACTCTGACAGCCTGTGTCTTAGTTTCACATTATTAAAACAAAGGCAAGGCTGTCCTGCTTTGGAACTCTTGCAGAAACACACAAATGCTCAAAAACATTACTCTCCAATAGCCTCTTTCTATTCTTCAGTATAATTGAGCCTTCTATTTTGATGCCATGAGCATAAATCTCATTAGATGGAAGGCACATAAGGTCAGTACGGGAGACTAAAGTGGGAGATAGTATTTCAATAACAGTTTGCAAATGCTTAGAATAATTTTGCCCTGAGCATCGAGACTGAAGCCCTCAGTCCTTGTGTTTGAGCTTTGATTAAAGGTGTGCAGGGACGCCTGGGTGGCTCAGTTGGTTAGGCTGCTTCCTTCAGCTCAGGTCATGATCCCAGGCTCCCGGGATTGAGTCCCGCATCCGGCTCCTTGCTCATCAGGGAGCCTGCTTCTCTGACTGCCACTCTGCCTATTTGTGTTGTCTCTCTCTCTCTCTCTGACAAATAAATAAATAAATAAATAAAATCTTTAAAAAAATAAATAAAGGTGTGCAACACACTTGGGGAGAAAACACTTCCAGCTATTTGGTGGGGATGAACATGTGCAGTCACTACTCTGCATTTGGGTGATGAAAGCATGATCATAAAGAAAAGCTACAGTTTAGCCTACCTTTACTGTTTTCCCAGCATTGTTTTAGCACTTTAAAGAACAACACTGGTGAACATTTTTGAGCTGTTCTGTGGGCCAAACTCTGTAAAATACATCTTTACATACATTATCTAATTGGAGCCTCACAATATCCCTTGGGAATATGTATCCGTTTCTCCATTTCACAGGTGCAGATAATGAGTTTCAGAAAAGTTACATAACTTGTTGCAGGCCATGCGGCCAGTGAGTGGTGCACATGTTTCAAATGGACCTTGGAGTTGGGAGAAGCCAGCCTTGTGTGTCCCGTGGTTGCCTTGTGTGTCAGCATAACCCCAACAACCGTGCTTGCATGGCTAGGTGATGACATCAGTAAGAAATCACTCTCCATGTACAACGGCAAATGTTTTGCTATATTCTGCTCCTAAACGGGCAACTTAAAGCAATTCTTTTTTTTAAATTACCTTTGATATTTTTTTCTTTAAGATTTTTATTTGTTTATTTGAGAGCCAGGGCACCAATGTTGGGGGGTGGGGGAGGCAGAGGGAGTCGGGTTTCCCCCCTCTCAAGGAAGACTTGTTTGGCATGAAACAGGTCCTGGTCTCCTTGGGGGTCCTGTCACTGGGTGGCTGGAGACAGAGGGCAGGCCACTTACAAATACACCTTAATTCCTAAGTATAGGCATTAAAAATAATAAGAAAAGTATGCAAAGAAATCCATGGAGAGACCTGCCCACCGCATGCAGATAAACAATTAGATATCAGGGCATAAACTTCAATCACAGGGCCATACTCAGTGTGCCCCGTTCTCCACTGCTCTGTGTACCCATGTTTCATACGCACCTGCCGGGTGCCAGGAGCTGTGCTCCCACCAGGGCGATGAAGACACCTCCCACAGGAGTGCTCACCTGGAGAACGAGGGGACCACAGAGCCCCGTGGCCAGCTCCGGTCATGGAGCAGGTGCACAGAGCACTTTGGAAGCGAGGAGGAGGAGCTCTTGAATGAAAGCACCCCCTGTTCAAAGGGTTGTCTTTATGAACCGCCTGTTTGGCAGTTTAACTGATGATTTTCCTTTACCTTGTTCTTCTTGACTCTCTTCATTCTCTAATTCTTTGGCTGCAAAGATGTCTTTAATGGAAATCAGGTCGTTTTTTAAGAGTTCCAGCTTCTCTCCACTGAGGGATGCTAAAAATGACTGAACCTGAAAAAAGAAATGGGTCAGCGTAACTGTCATCTTGTTTTCCCGTTAATCATGTTTACGAGGGGCTGTTGCCAGTTCTGCTGGGACTGAGGGGATTTGGTGGTGTGGGGGCAAGGCTGGGTGGAATGCTGGATTTACTGCCTATTAACTGGGTGCCTTTGGGTGAGTGACATACGCCCCCGGGGCCTCAGTTTTTAAAATTTTAACATGAGAACCACACTTCATTGGGATCCTTTGTGAGGGTAAATGAAACAGCAAATATGAATGTTACACAGGTGCAAACAGAAGAAGCTAAATAAATTTGGCTGTAGCCCTTCTAGCCTCGTGGGTAAAAACACCTGTGCTGTCAACTCTGAATTCAAATATGAGCCCTCACTGATGAATTATGTGCCCTCAGGTAATTTATTTAAACTTTCCTTCCTTATCTGTAAAATGAGGATGGAATACCATCTACCTTGGAAGGTTATTTTGAGGATTCAGTGAAATAATGTACTTAAAAGTACTTGTAGAGGGAGGAACAAGATGGCGGAGGAGTAGGAGACCTAAACATCATCAGGTCCCAGGAGTTCAGCTAGATAGTTATCAAACCATTCTGAACACCTACAAACTCAACAGGAGATAGAAGAGAAGAAGAGCAGCAATTCTAGGAACAGAAAATCAACCACTGTCTGGAAGGCAGGACGTGTGGAGAAGTGAATGTGAAGCTTCATTTGGGAAGACAGACTGCGGGGGGAGGGGCTGGCTCCCTGCAAGCGGTGGAGCAATGGAGCACAAAATCAGAACTTTCGGAAGTTTGTTCCACTGAGGGATGTAGCTCCAGTGGCTAAGCGGGGGGTGGAACACTTGCAGGGACAGTGTGGTCTCAGGACCCTCGGGGTCACAGAAAGACTGGGGGTACCTGAGTGTGGCAGAGCTCCCAGGTATCTGAGGGGGGAATCTGGCTGTAGAGACAGAGTCCCATGAGGGGGGCTCTCAGATCAGGGTTACCTTAAACCATGATCCAAGGCACAGTCAGGCCACTGCTCCTCAAGCAGGGATCCCACAAGTGGCAGAGCCGGGGAGAACCCCTCCTTCCTCCTCTTGGGGGAGCGGCACAGGAGCATGCAGCAGGAATCTGCTGGGTTTGGAGACTCCAAACAGGGTCATGCACCAGAGATAGAAACGCTCAGTCACAGGTTGGGTGAGCTTGCAGTGTGGCCAGAGACCAAGGAGAAGGGAGGGACTGACTGCTTTTCTCTGAGGGCTCACTGAGGAGTGGGGCCCTGAGCTCTTGGCTCCTCCCAGGGAGATTGGGAAGCCGCCATTTTCATTCCCGTCCTCCAGAGCTCTATGGAAAATGTTCAGGGAACAAAAGCTCCCGAGAGCAAAACTGAGCAGACTGCTTAGCCTGGCCCCTGGCAAGGGTGGTACAATTCTGCCTCAGGCAAAGACATTTGAGAATCACTGCAACAGGCCCCTTCCTCAGGAGATCAGTAAGAACATCTAGGCAAGACCAAGTTCGCCCATCAATGAGAACTGCAGAATCCCAGAGCTAGGGGAAAGCAACACATACAATTCATGGCTTTTTCCCCATGATCCTTTAGTCTTTCAAAGTTAAATTTTTTAAATTTTATTTTTTTCTTATTCTATTTTAAAAATTTTTTCCTCTTTCATATTTTAATGTTTTTTAACTATTTTATCTTATCAATACCTTTTTAAAAATCTTTTAAAATTTTCATTATTATAGTCATATTTTATCCCTTCATTATATTTAGGTTTATTTTTTGTATACATATAGTTTTTTTTTTCTTTAAAATTTTGGGATACATTTTCTTCTAATTGATCAAAATATACCCTAAATCTAGCACATGGCTTCATTCTAGTCTCCAGCCTGATCACATTCTATCCTCTTTTTTAAAAATTCTTTTCTCAACCAACTTCTTATCTTACCAATTCCTTTTTTAGACTCTTTTTAAATTTTCATCTTTACAGTCATATTCCATCCGTTCATCATTTTTACCCTTATTTTATATATATATATAAGTTTCTCTTTCTTTAAAATTTTGGGAGGTAGTTTCTTTTAACAGACCAAAATACACCCAAAATCAAGTGTGTGGCTCTGTTCTATTCACCAGTCTAATATTATATATATATATATATATATATACACACACACACACATATATATGTATGTATATATATACACATATATATGTATACATATATATACACACACATATATATATATATATTTTTTTTTCCTTTCTTTCCCCCCCCTTTCTTCTCTCCCCGGTTTCAGGTCTCTTGTGATTTGTTTAGTGTATATTTTTCTGGGGCATTGCTACCCTTTTAGTATTTTGTTCTCTCATTCATCTATTCTTATCTGGATAAAATGACAAGGTGGAAAAACTCACCACAGAAAAAAGAACAAGAGGCAGTACCAATGGCTAGGGACCTAATCAATACAGACATTAGTAATATGTCAGAACAAGAGTTCAGAATGATGATTATCAAGGTGCTAGCTGGGCTTGAAAAAAGCATGGAAGATACTAGAGAATCTTTTTTGGAGAAATAAAATCCCTTTCTGGAGAAATAAAAGAACTAAAATCTAACCAAGTTGAAATAAAAAATCTATTAAAGAGGTGCAATAAAAAATGGAGGCTCTTACTGCTAGGATAAATGAGGCAGAAGAGAGAATTAGTGATATAGAAGACCAAAGAATAAAGAAGCTGGGCAAAAGAGAGACAACTACTGGACCACAAGGGGAGAATTCAAGAGATAAGTGATACCATAAGATGAAACAATACTGGAATAAGTGGGATCCCAGAAGAAGAAGAAGAAAGAGAGAGAAGGGCTGAAGGTATATTGAAGCAAATTATAGCAGAGAATTTCCCTAATTTGACAAAGGGAACAAGCATCAAAATCCAGGAGACACAGAGAACTCCCCTTGAAATCAATAAAAATAGGTTAATACCCCGTCATCAAATGGTAAAAGTTACAAGTCTTAGTGACAAAGAAAAAATCCTGAAAGCAGCTTGGGACAAGAGGTCTGTAACATACAATGGTAGAAATATTAGATTGGCAGCAAACCAAACCACAGAGACCTGGCAGGCCGGAAGGGACTGGCTTGATATATTCAGAGCACTAACCAAGAAAAATATACAGCCAAGAATACTATATCCAGCTAGGCTGTCATTGAAAATAGAAGGAGATGGGGCACCTGGGTGGCTCAGTGGGTTAAAGCCTCTGCCTTCGGCTCAGGTCGTGATCTCAGGGTCCTGGGATCGAGCCCTGCATTGGGCTCTCTGCTCAGCAGGAAGCCTACTTCCTCCTCTCTCTCTGCCTGCCTCTCTGCCTACTTATGATCTCTGTCTGTCAACTAAATAAAAAAAAAAAAAAAGAAAGAAAATAGAAGGAGAGATAAAAATCTTCCAGGACAAACAAAACTAAAAGAATTTGCGAACACCAAACGATCCTTACAAGAAATATTGGAAGGGTCCTCTAGACAAAGAGAGAGCCTAAAAGTAACAGGCCAGAAAGGAATAGAGACAATATACAGTAAGAATCACCTTACAGATACTACAATGGCACTAAATTAATATCTTTCAATAGTTCCCCTGAATGTAAATGGGCTAAATGCCCCAATTAAAAGACACAGGGTATCAGAATGGATAAAAAAACAAGACCCATCAATATGCTGTCCACAAGAAACTCATTTTAGACCCAAAGACACCTCCATATTTAAAGTGAGGGGGTGGAAAACAATTTACCATGCTAATGGACATCAGAAGAAAGCTGGGGTGGCAATCCTTATATCAGATCAATTAGATTTTAAGCAAAGGACTACAGTAAGAGATGAGGAAGGACACTATATCATACTTAAAGGGTCTGTCCAACAAGAAGATCTAACAATTTTAAATATCTATGCTCCTAACATGGGAGCAGCCAATTATATAAACCGATTAATAACAAAATCAAAGAAACACATCAGCAATAATACAATAATAGTAGGGGACTTTAACACCCCCATCACTGAAATGGACAGTTCATCTAAGCAAAAGATCAACAAGGAAATAAAGGCTTTAAATGACACACTGGACCAGATGGACATCACAGATATATTTAGAACATTCCATCCCAAAACAACAGAATACACTTTCTTCTCTAGTGCACATGGAACATTCTCCAGAATAGATCAATCCTGGTTCACAAATCAGGTCTCAACTGGTACCTAACTGGGTATCATTCCCTGCATATTTTCGGACCATAAAGCTTTGAAACTAGAACTCAATCACAAGAGGAAAGTTGGAAAGAACTCAAATACAGGGGTACCTGGGTGGCTCAGTGGGTTAAAGCCTCTGCCTTCGGCTCAGGTCATCATCCCAGGGTCCTGGGATTGAGCCCCGCATCAGGCTCTCTGCTCAGCAGGGAGCCTGCTTCCTCCTCTCTCTCTGCCTGCCTCTCCACCTACTTGTGATCTCTGTCTGACAAATGAATAAATAAAATCTTAAAAAAAAAAAAAGAACTCAAATACATGGAGGCTAAAGAGTATCCTACTAAAGAATGAATGGGTCAACCAGGAAATTAAAAAAGAATTGAAAACATGGAAACAAATGAAAAGGAAAACACAATTGTTCAGAGTTTTGGGGACACAGCAAAGTCAGTCCCGAGAGGAAAGTATATAGCAATATAAGCCTTTCTCAAGAAACAAGGAAGGTCTCAAATATACAACCTAACCCTACACCTAAAGGAGCTGGAGAAAGAATAGCAAAGAAAGCCTAAACGCAGCAGGAGAAGAGAAATAATAATGCTCAGAGCAGAAATCAATGAAATACAAATAAAAAAAACAATAGAAAAATCAATGAAACTAGGAGCTGGTTCTTTGAAAGAATTAATAAGACTGATAAACCCCTGGCTAGACTTATCAAAAAGAAAAGAGAGGGACCCAAATTAATAAAATCATGAAGGAAAGAGGAGGGATCACAACCAACACCAAAGAAATACAGTTATAGGAACATATT